CTCTGGGCGGTGCCTGCCACAAGTAGTTGGCAGCCCTCCAGCTGGATCCTACTGCGTTCAATGGAGATGGACTGAACTGATTTCATTGTGTGGTTGTAACCTGTTTGTAGCTGTGGATTAATAATGTTAATAATAATGGTAATATTTACCTTTCCCTGAAAACTGAAGCATTGTGCCCTCACACAATTACTGTTTTCCATTCACCTTTCAGTGGTGTCACATCAAATTCCCAGTGTTTGTTGGTAACGTTTCATTTTTGGATTAAGTGAAATTCATTTTGATTTGACTGTTACCAAAGACCACCATCACACACATTTTTGTTGTATCACGTAGGCTACTAATCTAATGGACATCCCCTCAGCGCACCGCAGCAGCTGAGCTGATAAACTGAATTACCAAAACTCTACCTCAAGGACTAATTTCAGCTCTATTATGTATTCTTTCATGTATTCTATGTTTATTCCAGTAGCTTGAAGTGTTTGCGTAGTTTGTTAAACATAAAAATTATCATGTGATAGGTATTATTAGGTTGAATAAAGGACCTCTTTTGTTTTAATTGTGGTTACATGGGATTACTGTATGTATGCAGCAGTAATCGGTTGTCTATAAGAGCAAAAGTCTAATTCTTTTAAGTTATCAACTTGACTAGACAGAGAGACATATTTTCCATGTGACGAATGATTAATTAACTTATGAATGAAAAGTTACTGACATTTGGATTGGATTTTAACAGCCGATCCAAAACGTCCAGCCACAAAGCCGCTAATAACATCTGGTAATGGGGCAAATTGTAAGTTATAATCATTTAACCAAAGACCATTACTTGGTTTTACGCTCAATTTGAATGATATTTTTATTGACTATAACGTCTAGTTCTCGTTATATATATTTATAATCTGCTAGTAAAATTCCAACACAGCACCTTTAGGGTCTATTTGGACAGGTAGTCAACATGTACTTGTCCAAATAGGTTCTCACGCCTACAAAAAATTGTTGATGTGAGAAAACTAAGGTGATAAACATGGATAAAAATAAAGCCCCTCCATGGCACTCTATCTTAAGGAAAACTCAGCAAGTAGGGCTCAGTAAATTATAACATGTGTCTTCTTTTTCTTTAAATTAACACCAGCAGTATTTTCAAAATATAATCCTAAAATGCAGTTTATAAAAGTTTGATGACAGACATAATGGACCAAAATGAACAATAAAAGTAGTGGTGTATCAGATGAGAGACAAATGCACTACCTCCGTTTATGTTTCTTTATAATCTCTTTATAAAATTAATACAAAGCCGAGCTCCATCTTTTGAATTGTTGCCCTTTTCCTTACTTCTCAACAGACTTTTAAGAGTAAAAACATAAAACCTTACTGTTTCTTATCAGTGAAGGCTTTGTAAGATAGAGCTTATACTTCTGAGACTACTTCTTTGTCTACTGGCTCACCAGACTCTAATTTCCTTATGTTCGTCAGTCTCTTCTAATCCAATGCATTAAAATGAAAAGCTTAGTGCTGATTTAATATTCTACAAGCCATTTCCTCCTGAATTTCTAGATGAATCTGAAAGGGCATGAGTATGCACTGCCTTTTAAATTAGAATTACTTTATGTGGTCTTCTAAAACTTACAGCAAAAAACATAGTTAAAACATATATCGACATGCCACAAGAATAATGTTTGGCTGTTGTCCTTTTTTTTTTTTTTTGCATATGAACATTCATGATGTTGTTCCAATCTGCCAGGATGTTGTTTTCCACCCTAATATTGTTCTACTATTGTCATTTTTGACAGTTAAAATATAATACAATCCAGTCTAATTATATCACTTGAAACAGACTCTCACCATCGTCTCTCAGTGTGTTGAGGACTCCTTTATGGCCACAAGGGCTGCAAAAATGTTTGTATGCAGGTTTACCCCTCACTTTCACATATACCAAATTAGAGACAAAAAATGTAGTTGCAATCCTTTTCAGGTTTGATGAACCACTTTTCATGCGGATACAAGGGAATTCAACAAAAAGTCAACTTGTCGACTAGGCTGAGTTTACTAAAATGTAGACAACTTAAAAATTGCTCCCATTCCCCCCTCAGCAGGTGTGGGCTTAAATGGCAGTGTCCAAAACTGGTCTCATATTAGCTTATTCTATGGGCTTAATACAGTTAACAATAAAGCTGGATTTGGCCTAACTGATACAACCAGGACTGTCCCAGCAGCAAGACTTATTGTACTGTACGTAGGTGGGTTAGGATCTTACCAAATAATGTGTGAGAATCTACCATCACTGTCAGCTTAACAGAAGGAATAATATATTCTAAGAGGTAAAATCAATCATTTGACATGTAAAAAGCTGTAAGAGTTGAATAGGCGTGTTTATATTTCTACAGAATTAATAGACTGCTTGTATGGTGAAGATACCAACATCCTCCCCTTATTATAACTGTATAGCTCGATATTTGTTCCTTTGATCTCGAATAAAGAGTGAGACTGGGCAGACTTTGAGTTGGCGCATATTCCTGAAAGATGTCCTGCATTGACAATTTTAAACTTTGTGACAAATACATTTTTAGTTGGGAATTTATTATTAGTAAGTGGCAAACAAAGGGTAACTATCACTTGGGAATCTGTGCTTTTTAAGTTTTCTGAGCTTGGATATTCCATTTATCCATCACATACGTCTCAACAATAAAATAGAGAATTTTGGGAGGTCGGAAATTGGATTACCGTCTTTTGTCTGTTCATTATTAAAGTATTTAAAATCCCCACAACGACTATGCTAACACACTTCATACTGGCAAACTCTTTCCTCAAAACAACCAACTTCACAGCACCAAATTGTCATGTGCACATGGAAAAAGGGAGGTCCAACTGTAGGGATCTGATGTTCTACCCCATGTTTAGTGACAGTTTTAGAAAAGTTGGGAACATAATGTGCACAACAAACACTTAAAAAAATCCCCTGTACAACAAAGTTTACCTGTATTAATGGCCCAGCTTTGTGTGCCATACAGTGAAGAAAATTATACTGCATCTATCAAATGTCTATAACCAACATTAATTAGGAGCCAATGAGCACAAAGGAAATCAGCACTTATGATAGGAACTGAGCTAGCAGCAACGTGTCATACAACCTGCATGACCTGTACTAGAAGCTTCGGTCATGAAAACACATAGTCACCGACATTTCATCAAATGTCTTGATAAGAGAGCCAGTAGCAGACCACGACCTTCAAAGAGACTGTTGGAGCCAGCTGGGGGATTGAGGCTCTTCTGGGAACATGAATCAACCAGAAAAGGTCTCCCCGTCCAAGAGTCTTCAAAAAAATCAGCCATTCCTTGTCAACAATGGTTCAGGGTGATAGAAACACTGGGCTAATTCCTGGTATCTGCACGTAGCGATCCCTTCCATCATAGCTGGTCTCTAGGGATGTCGCTGGAAAATCAGACATACCTAAAGACTACAAACTGCTCCACTTGCCTACCGCCTAGAGATCAGTGTCTAGGCAGTTCACTAAAATCAAAGCACTTCTAGGTTGTGATCCAATACTTAGAGTATTAGTATAGTATATGATCTTTTTCTGCTACCAAGTGGTTATCCTTCATAACATCACAGCTGATCACGGATGTATCATTGAGTTGAAAGGGACAGAGTTGACAAGGACAGCCCGTACAGGAGCTGAAAGCAGTAGGAGGAAGAGGTGGATAAAGAGAAATCCCCCATTTTTCATATCCAGGAGGGATAACATGCTCTCGATCAGCTTGGGACCTGTGCTATCTCCCAGGCCAGAGAGGGAGAAAGGGAGTTACATCATAAAGGCAGCAGTTTGAGTATTGATGTCACAAAGTAGTTCTACTTTCTTTAGTCTAAGGAAATGTAACAGTAAGAGTTAATTGTGCTTCAATGTGGAGGAACCATGAAGGAGGATTGTGACACCAGAAGTCCAGGAATTTAACGATGACAGTAAACTAATCTGTAATGTTAGGTGGAGACTCAAACGCAAGGGGTTGGCAGGAGTTGTTTTTGCCATCAGACCTTGACATGTCCACTTTTTGGCGTCAACAATGTACAGTAAAGGTTTCAAAATAAGTTATTGTGGGACCTAAGTAAGTTCTCTTTTAATCAGCTTCGACAACAGACCAGTTTAAAACGCAGAAAATACACCAAAAAACAACCGCATATCTCAGAAGGTTAACTGGCTGAACTGTAGGTGTGAGTGGAGTGCCCTTGTGGTACACAACAACAACAACAAAAAAAAATGTTGATGAAATACCACTTTTTCAAAATTTAGTTGCTTTTTTTTATTCAGCTTCATTTGTTTTAGGATAAATACGATCTCAAATCAATTAAGCAAACACAATGGTCAAAATAACACTTCATTTTAACAGGATGTAATATTATTACTATCAGTCTAAGTCATTTAAATAAAAACTTATATTTAGATTTAGGTAATGTATTTATACAACGGGATGTACCTTAATCACTAAAAAAATTTGATAATTATCAGAGCAACACAGAGACACACAGGACAAACAACCATTCATGCACACACTCACACTTAAGGACAATTTATAGAAGCCAATTAACCTAACAGTCATGTTTTTGGACTGTGGGAGGAAGCCGGAGTACCCGGAGAGAACCCACGCATGCTCAGGGAGAACATGCAAACTCCATGCAGAAAGACCCCGGGCCGGGAATCGAACCCAGAACCTTCTTGCTGCAAGGCAGCAGTGCTACCCACTGTGCCACTGAGCAGCCCAGTAACATTGTTTATGTCACTAAGAAAAAAATATCTTTTTAATTAATGTATTATTAACGCTTAAGCACCAAAATGACATGATATATTCCTGACAAGGCCATCACACAGATTAGACATATTTCAGCTGCTGAAAATTGAAAAACCATCTTGGCAATTCAAGTTGAATCTCATTAAAAGTTGGCGGAGCAGGTGCCTTGCTTTTGACAGGTGACAGATGGGAACTGTAGTACTGAGCCACACTCAGCTTACTTCAACGGCAGCCTTGGCTCGCTCAAACTCCTCCTCCAGGGATTGATGTCTTGACAGAAGGGCGCTACCCAAGCGCTGCTCCTTCGTTAGACGAGCCTGTCACACACAAACACACACACATTTCATCATATAAACATTTATGCCAAACATAGTCTTTTATACATACTGTACACCTGTACATTTACGTAACACATCACAGCACACACGCAGCCAGAGGAAGAGGCGGGTTGGGAGAGAGTGCAGGGTCAGCCCTTGCTGATTTCTGAAAGCCATGTAAATATCCCTGCCTTGACAAAGCCTCTGACTTGCTTAGGAAGGATAGCAAAACCACTACTGTCAGCAACCACCACCACCATACACCCAGGTCTAAATCTGAGAAACCTGCTTTTCTCAATTTCACCCTTCACCCAAGCCTGGCCCATTTCTTAACACCTGCACATGCAAAAAAAAAAAAAAAAAAAAAAAAAAAGCAGATAAATTCTCTCTGACAAATTTAGATGCAAAGCTTTGTCCTACTTTGAAAATAATAACCATCCAGTTAAGTCCATGCATGTAGTTTGGCATTTTGAGACTGCAGTGTAACTTTCATTATTTTTTTATTACAAATCTGTTCTTGTAAATGGTGTCAAGATAACCTTTTATGTCCCTGTTTAATATAACACAGGATTTACCCGCTATTATCAAAGGTCGCATGTATCCCAGGGCACGTTAACCTATTACCAAGAATTATAATACTTTATATTTGCGGTTATTTCTTGGGAGTTAGGCGAGCTATTACCTGAAGCAATTCCCTACTCTTCTGAATGCCACCATAGAGGACTAATTAAGGTTTTGCCGCTAAATGGGTTATGTAAATAAAGCATATGCATATTTCAAATAGAGCTAAAACAATCAGATTAACTGATTAATGGATAATTAAAACAATAATCAACTAATTAATAGAATATTCATTAACTGGAGTGTACAGACTTTAAAAGATGTCATTTGCTAAAATAACAACCAAGTCAGAGCAGTATTAGGCCAAAAGTCTACTAAAGATATATAAATATGCTGCGTTGAAAAACTTTCATTTCTACAAATATTTACTTTTCAAATCTCTAAACATTCATTTGAAATAGAAAAAAATTTTTGCGTCCAAAATTAATTTAAAATGTGCATTGAAAATAATTGTCTACTAATAGTATCTCCTTTTAGATACTAGCTAGATTAACATAATTGATAGCTGCAGCCCTAATTTTAAGACAAAATCTTGTCACATTTAGTTTCTGGTGCCCTTTGGGATGGTAAAAGTTGTTTAAATACACTGCAGTTGGTATGAAGGAAAAATCCACCCCATAGAGAGATAAAAATATCCCTAAACAAGTTTCCTACGTTTTGTTGCTTGGTCGTATGTAGATAATATTTTCTTAGAAACAGTTCCCACTAACTTTAGAAAATTACACACTTATAAAAATCCACAACAGGTTTTCAAAACCAAATTTTCCAAACTTGGAAGTTTTTAAAAAATTTATCCTTCTAACATCAATGCAAAATATGATTAAAATATTGTTGGCAAACTGATATTTACAACATCTAAGATGTGGCCTATTATAAATCAACAGAGCTGTGCCATCTCTTTTTTATGTGTCTCTTCACATTCCCTTGGATTCACAAAGCAATTTCTTAACTTTACAAAGCAATTTCCTAAAGATATGGGCTTTTTAAGGCAAATCCTAATTTTCATTACTATTCCTAAGTCAAGCTTATTTTATAAAATGGTGCACATTTAGTTTTTTACTTTTTGAACTAAAAGTTGCCTTTAAGAGACCTTGTACCCTTGTGGAAGAGTAATGAAATTAATAATGATTGAGGTATAGTTCAGGTTTAGAGGCTCTGAAGACCAAAGTCTACTGATACAGTAATTACAGTAAAATAACTACATCCGTGGTCATTTTTTGATTCTTGTATATAAATGATCTGACCCATGAGGACAGTGGTTTCCAAAGTGCAGTTACAGGCAGGGCATGATGGAAATAAGCAGAATAAATTACCAAATTTAGGAGGAAAATGGGAAAAAAAATAATTTCATTTTTAAAATTGTAATTTTGTGATTACAATGAGATTTATATTAAACTTTATTGCAATAGGATTTACTGCAGTTGACATTTCTTTGTTCAATTGTTAAAAACATTGGTCACAGGGCCCATCAATAATAGTTCTGTAACCACTACACTGGGACATGGAATGGCTTGCTCCTCAAGTGTATAAAAGAAAACTTAATGGATTTCACTATCTCACTGATGATGATATGCAATGTAAAAACTGTACGAAAAAAAATTTATGCATTTTCTTCATACATTCAAAATGCACAAAGTTTAAATTCAGAAGAAACCCTGGTCTTTGACCATTTTAAAAACCTAGTTTTTTCACTCATCATTATTGTGTAATATATGACTGATGGATCAGGGTGGATTTTTCCTTTGGCTCAAATAATTAAGCAAAACACTTGTCGGAAAAAAAAAATCATGCAAGACAAGTTTCCTCTTTGCATGCATGCTCTTTCCATGTGTTTATGTTTATGTGAGGAGACAAGGTTCAAAAAAAAAAAAATCTATAGTATCTGAACTACAGATAAAACGTGAAAATCCTCAGTAAAATAGATTTCTGTGTTTGTTTGTCAATAGCCTCCTTCCAGTAGCTCCAATCTTCACTTGAAAAAAAAAATCTATTATTCATGAGAGCTGAGAAGGTGATATATGCTTGCTTAGCAGGATCAACACTAATGATCTCAGAGTGAGACACATCTACATAATTTATAGGCTATTTATCTAATAATGGCATCTGGAAATAAGACTCCTTATGTTAACCTTATGTTGAAGTATCAACAAAAAAGGAAGGTGTATTGCATTTGGATATAATAGCACCAGAAAAGAAAAATCTGGATTTACTAAAATAATTCAGTTTTGTATTTTTTAAGATGCTCTGATGCTTTTGTTGTGCTGTAAGTGTGTAATCTTTGTTGTTAAAAGGATACATAGGGAGGCTTACATGTCTTCCACTAATATACTGCCTGTTGAGCTGAAATGGAAGAATTGTAGGTGTTAGGAAAAAAGATGGGTAAACAATGACAGAACATGGAGAGTTTTTAAATAGAAATCTTTAAAACATCATTATGGAATTATTCAATCATTTAATCACTGAATATTTTAAATGTCCAAATGATGATTGGGTATAACAAACTGTTCCACATAAACAGGCACATATTAAGCAAACAGAACTTTACCATCTTCTGCCGTAATATTAAACACTTACTTGTGAAGCAAGGGCTGATTCTGGCTCTGCTTTGGGGTTTGCCTCCAACATGTTCCTATTTGAAGAATCAGGTTGGATTTTACAGTCTAAAGACCTAAAGGAGAAAACATTAACATCAGCATCAACAGGAATATAGTATATTACCACTTATTTTATTTGGTTCCTTTAACTTGATGTGTGTGATCATTTCCACTTATTTGTGATGCTTCTGGTACAATTAAGTTTATCAATTATGAAAAGAAAATCGTTTGTAATCTGCTTTGAACATGAAAGTTTTTATTTTAATTTTTAATAGAATAGTAACAATAAGAAAAATTTGCATTTAACATCACAACATTGCCATATTAAGAGTTGTCTGCTGTGTTCAGATAAGGTGATGTAAACTCTTTATTTCTACATGTAGACTTTTCACGCAGCAGTTGGGGCAAAGAGGCCACGCAGCTTACCAGCAGGGGGTTAGACCCAGCTTTTTTTGCAATGGGAAAGGAACTAGATGCAGTTTGTTAGCGGGTGGACCCGTGTTTTCCAAACCCACATGAACCCGCTTTAGTGTGTGACTAGTAATTAGTCTGCATTGTGCAGATGATGTTTGGCTGCTTAATGATAGGTCTATTCATAAGGTCACCTTTACAGAAACACGGGAAGGATATCTAGATTGAAATCCCCAATGGTTGCTATTACCCCTTTGCCACTTGCTGAAAAACATGTCTAAACCCGGAAACAATTGCCTTTTGGTGGCAGTGGGAATGACTTCTTAACCCATGTCGACCCTTATCAAGCAACTAGTCAAGTGACCTGGCTTAAATTTGCCTTCAAATGGCGATTGGCATACTGTAGGAAGTCAGACCCAAGTTGACCCGCTAATTTATGCGATACCACTGAGCGCAAAGTACGGACATCAGCATATCGTACCAGTTCCTTCTGATATAAAAAGCAAAAATAACTCTGCTTGTACTCGATAAATATGGCGCAGCCCTGGTGAGAAAGATTTGGAAAGATAAAAGAACGAAACAATAGAGAACTTACTACACACTGGCTTTGGTTGAAAAAGTATTGACTTATAAGGATCAATCCCAAGTATTTAATCAATAATGTGTTGCAAAGCATTATATTTCACCTTTCAAATGTACCAATGTTTGATGAACTAAGAACCTGTGAACTTTAAGACTGCACTAAGTTTGTTACCCATGTGAGCAATAGCTTTGGCTTTGAAAGTGACTGTGCATACAGATTCAGCTAGTTCTTCGCAGCCTGGGAACAATAAAATTCTCCCTATGGCAGCCAGATACTGGTGATGACATAGAAAGGTTCTGATCCAGAGGAGGATCAGAACCCTGGTCAAGGTGTGTATTGTGAGAAATAGAATTTACACTGACTGTGTAAATGTGACTTTGAAAGCTTCTGAATATCTCCCCTGAATATCCACTGATACATAAATGTCTTGAATTTAATGTTTAACTCGTTAAATCATGACTTACACTCTGTCCATCAAATGAATCTTGGGGAGGTGATGTAGGAACAGAATATCCTGTTGTTTCACCTTAACACATCCATGTTGATCTCATACTAACCTAGCATTATGGCGTCACCAGACAAGCAGCAGTCGGGGAACAGAGGTCACGCGGGGGGTCAGACCAAGATTTTTTTGCCAAATGCCGATTGTTAGAGTGCTGACCCGTGTTTGAAAAACTGCCATTAACCCGCTTATTTCAGTGGGAAGGAGGCGTAGCTATTTAAAACATTAGTATGTTAAAATAAGTGATATTAATTTTTGCAGTTTACAAGAGAGCAGTGACACACAATTATGACAAAATATGACCCCCTATTACACGGTTTAAATTTGTTTCCTGGCTGTAAAGGACATATTCTAAAAGGGACTATTATGATATGCTAGTTGATCATTTTTGTAATAATATTAATTTGCAGTCATAGTAAGAAAGTTTAGAACCTACCATAAGAATTCGCTGGATGAATTTTTGGAAGAACGGCGTCTCTCGAGCTTCCATTTTCTGTTGCCATTCCTCTCAGTACTGGAATTAAGTTCTTCCCATTTATCCAAAGACCCGATGGCAACTAGGGACAACATTTGACATATAACATCATCAGATTGATCACTTCTGCATAATAGTTCTCAAGCAGCCTCATTTGAATAAGCAAATCAAAACACAGTCATGTTTTGATGGTTGCAAAGAGCATAATCTATTAGTAAAATGTGACCTAGAAATTACCAATTATCTCATAAGTCTGACAAGTCCTAAGTGCCTCTGATGTCTCACAAACAAAAGAGGGGTTGATGTTTTTCAAGCCGTTTAATCATAAAAAGCTTCAGGACTTAATTCAATGTCAGTGTCATTCACTTTGACTTCCTGTACATTATTAACTTTTTCTTTCACCTTTCAGACTCCACATGCAAAAGTAATTGCCTGTTTCCTGCAAATGCCTTTTGAGATGATAGCTGTTGTTACCTTAAATTGGTTTAGCCCCGCTGTGGCCTATCCTGATCATGTTTGAGGTTGGAGAATAATGGAAATTATCGCTAAGGAGGTATGGAGGGAGAAAGGCAGAGACAGGTTTCTCACATTTTTTTGCTTTCAGAGCACAGCGAAATAAGACAATACAGAGAATTTATTAAACATTTTCCTTTCATTGAATAGATCAGGTAAATAAAAATAGATCCATGTTTTGATTTAAATTTATTATGTGGGCAAGAAAAAATTGTTTCTAATCATCAAATATCTCACATTATGTTGTTTGTATTTGTATTTGTTGGCCTTTTTAAGTAACCTATAGGCTGTTTGTCACCAATTAAAAATCAGCGGGGTCCGAATAAAGAAAATCATCAAGCAGTAATGGTTCGAAGACATTTTTATTACAATCTGGTACTTTGAACAGAATTTAACACTGAGATAAAATGCGTTTTTTTATGTATCCATGTTAAATCTTTAAATAAAAAAGATCAACAAAAAAAAAAAAAACTTTTTCCATTTTGAAATCTGAAGTTTTTTTTGAAGTACAAAGAGAACAACAATCGTTTATATTTTGCTAAAACACCTGAACTGACAGTTTTTTTTTTTTTTATGGCTTAATGAGAGCATTGGGTTTTAGGCTGCCCTGCAAGGCTTTAAAACCTGGGTTTGAATGACAACAAAGCCATTCTCAAGCCATTCCAGGCTCATTCATGAGCTTATATATTCCCAAAAACTAAGACCATTTGTTTAAATGATTGGATGAAAACTATTGGTACTTCAACATACCAGGAAGCAGATTTCTCATCTCGACAAAAATATTTATTTTAAACTAAGAGGCCTAAAAGTTTCATTAAATCAAGTCAAAAGAGAAGAGCGACTCTCACAACTTCAAAAGAAACTTCTCATCTCAGGCCTGGATGAAGAGCTGCTGAGTTTGGAAGCAGAGAACAAACATAGTTCATACAAACCATGTATGATCTGAATTATCCCTGTTTCAAAAATCCACAATAAAATGAAAATATTTGGGCAGAAACTGAACATATGCTGGCTGGATGATGGTGGGGATAATTTTAATATGTCATATTAAATTAAGCGTTAATTTCCGCATGTTTTGCTTCTGAATATAATAATAATATTGCGCATACTCTGCTTGGACTCCGAGGAAGTCGGAGCGGAGCAAGACGGGAGGAACAGCAGAGGCTGTAGGTGCTGCTTTGTGCAGGAGGTCTGGAGTGCAGCGGGGCGGAGTGGATACGGAGGATGTGGGAATTCGGGTTTAGACACTGTCATCGGACAATATGCACTAATTTATAAATGTTTTAAATCAGTTTGGGTCCAGATTAGCCAGCAGGTGGGTCAGGATCCAGACCGCAGTCCGCTAATCCGTGACCTCTGCTATAGGCACATATTTGATAAAATAATGCCTTTGGGACTGCATAGGTGTTCATTTGTTATGAAATACAGTTGTTTTCTTCCAACCTCAAGAAAAGAAATATGCGTTTAAAGTGGGGCTGCCTTTCCCATCTGGGTGCTGCCTATTTCATGATGTTGCTTTTTCATGTCACTTCTGAAGGCTGAACGAAGTCCGAGAAAGGAGCTGCATAAGGATTACTCAGATATGCATGAATCAAGGGAGATGCAACTTTTTGCTTAATTTTGATGAACAAATATCATTATACAATGTAACAAAGTTAAAGGCTAAAAAAGTAGATTTTTCTAAACTAATGCCCTTTAAAATAAAAATAAAAACCCTGGTTCATATAGAGGGGTTTCTTCACCTTTTTATTATAAGTTAAATAAGCTCAGGATTCTTGACTTTACCTGACTCGAGTGATGCCCTCTCTGGGTTTCTCATATTTGGTCCTGTCTGTTCAACTTCCACCTGAATCAACTCTGTCTCATCCGTCTTTTTCTTGTGTGAGCTGTTCTTTTGACCGTCACCACGGGACAACAAAGAACTTTTTTTGTCTTTGCTGTTCCTCCTCTCTCCTGGTTCACTGAGATCCAAAAGGTCCAGCGTTGAAGAAAGAACTGGAAAGAAAAAAAGAGAGGTAGTGTAAGGTTGGTAACAATAACCTTATACTAGTCATTGCAGACTTTTCAAATAGCTTGGTTTTTAATAAAAATAGTAATGACAATAAAAATACATTTAATTATAGCGCCTTTGAGGACACCCAAGGACACTGTACCACAAACAATCAAATACACAATATGATACAATATACACTATATTAAAAACAGGTGGTATGCAGTCTGGAACAGTAATGTGTCAATATTATGAATATTATTTTGAGTGAATTCTAGAGTTTGGGAGTGGAGCAGGAGAAAGCTCTCCTCCCCATGGTGATAAGGCTGACAGTAGGCTTAACAAGGTGGATGGAAGAGGGCGATCTAAGGGAACGGGCAGGGATCGCAATCTGAAGGAGGCCTGATAGGTATGGGGGAAGTTATAAACCGAAGTTTATTAAGAGATTTCTGGGGAAGACCAAAAAGAAGAGAGTTGCAGTAATCAATACGGGAGGTGAGAAAGCTAAAGACAAGAATACGATGAATGTTTTGTAGGTGAAAATATGCAAAACCAGTAATATTAATGATGTAGGAGGTGAAGGACATAATGCTTTCAAGGATGAAGACACACCGCTGAAAAAAACAGTGAGAAAATTAAAAGCAAAAAGCTCGCCATCAAAAATGTTTCTGGAGTCTCTGAAAAACTCAAGAGGATTTTCTCCAAATAAAAAATCCCAGTACATTTCAAACCAAACAAGATGCTTAAACAGAGAGTAGTGGATCCTAAAGACGAAACCTCCACATCTAAGATGAGAGGAGTGGTGTATGCAGCTCAGGGCAGTGAGGAATGCTCAGATCTTTATATTGGAGAAACCAAACAACCTCTCCACAGACGCATGGGCCAACACAGAAGAGCAACCTCCTCCAGACAAGACTCGGCTGTACATCTACTCCTTATGAACAAAGGACATTCTTTTGAGGACCAGAATGTTCACATTTTGGTAAGACAGGTGGTTTGAAAGGTGTGTGAAGCAAGCCATTTATGAAGCGAGCCATTTATGCTCTACACTTGGAGAATAAGATCTGGGATTGGGGCACGTGCGAAGCTTGTGTGGAGTAGTGATGGATCCAGCAACACTGATGCGTTGGAGCATGCTTGGAGCTCATAGAGCAAAGCACTATGTCATTGCACATAACTTGTCAAAAAGTCACAGGACCAATACAGGAGCTGTTTCTAACTGACTGATGCACTAAACTGTGTTTATAATTTATCATTAAAACAATCAAGCATGGAGCAGTCTAAAGGCAAAAGTAACATTTGAGCATTTTTGGATCATTTTGATCTCATATTTGTTTTAAGTTTCTCGTGGTGTCATCCTATTCCTCTAAGTCATCTGTGAAGTTAGGAAACTGAGTCTGGAATCATTTTCTTGCAAGATAATATTGAATTTTATTTATCGTTCTTTGGACGGAGAGGGAGATAGAGCTCTCTCTGGCTTAACCATCCTATATGGTTATTCCCAAGAAAAACACTTCCGTTCATCAAGGACATGAATTTCAGCCATGGCATGAAGGAGGCTGTGTGAACTCATTATCTCTCATGACCTTCCCTTCACCCTTGTCTAGAGTAGGGCGGCATCTGCTTTCTGTCCCCCTAAACAGTATAGCATAGTGAATTATATAGGATTTCTCTATCATTACTCCTATTCAAACAGGCACACTTAAAACATTTCATCTCACGAAATAGGCCAAGGAAAAATATGCTCTCACACATCACTCTTAGTTTACTGTTTTTATTGTACTTATTAATTTAAATATATATTTTTTAAATCCTAGTTGATAAGCATTGTTTCAGGAGTTGGTTGGAGGTTGGTTGGGGACCCTAATGCAGAGACCAGGAGGCAGAGGTGAGTCTTGCACATGTAATGGACAACTATAATGAGAACAAAAATAAGATTACAATAGGGAAAACTCATGTGGGAAGCCAGAGACGAGAGAACAACAAAAGAACAAACCAGGACTGAGTGACTGCAGAGGTGGTGTATATATTGGGAGCCTGAACCAAAAAAACAAGCTAATCAGCAGATTGGGAGCAGGTGTGGGCAAGACTAACTAGGAGGAAGCCAAGGGCAAAGGAAAACAAGCACAAGGGGGCAACAGAGGGTAACTAAAGAAGTCATCACTGGTAGATCCTCATTAGTGTTGAGGTAAAGAGAGGCGTTGCTTGCCACACATCTTGTTTTGGTGCACAGAGAATGCTCAATATCTCCACCCAGAGGTGGAAATATTTCTTATTGCTACATAAATATTTTTAAAACATAAAAATTATGTGCAAATTAAATATAAGCTTGCTACACAACTAAAGGTACAGTGTATCAGACCATCAAAACCACCTGAATCAAACCTAAAGTAGACTGAGCCCTTCTAGGATGGCCAAGCTCCTCACTCTATTTTTAAAGAAGTGCCTGGTCGCCATGCAGAAGAAGTTAATTTCAGCCTCTTATAACTGGGCTCTTGTTCTTTCAGCCATGATCCAAATTTCACCCATTGGTGACCATAGGAGCTTAGAACGACCAGTAAACTGAGAGATGAGCCTTTTAGCTTTTATATTACAGCGAGGAGCGGCACTAATTTGTCTATCAATATTTAACTGGTACTCCTTTAATACATTTGATAAAAAGAGAAAGGCAGGTTCTTCAGGAGCTCCTATTGCCATATAAGAAGCATATATTAATGAATACTAATGTTGATTTAATTCAAAATTTAATATATTCTCTTTCAAACAGCTTTTTGTAATTATTTTCTTTTTCATATCAATTCTCTTGCTTCATTTTTTCTATTACTTTTTTGCAGCTGGTAAAGAAAAAAAACAGTCATAAAATAAAATGATACTCCTATTAAATCCAGATTAGTGAACTGGTGATAATTGAGGCATTTCTCTTTCATCCCCAAGGATTCTGATTGTGTGCCTCAGTTCATAACTGCAGGCATATGTCTGAATAACTGGCATGTTTCTGTTTCATGACAACCAACCAGAGAGCATTTGCTGAATGAAATCTGTTTGTAATTAGAGACTGTTCTCATGCCTTGTGCTTTTTAGATGATGTGCATAATTACAAATCAAAGGAGACAGACTCAGGAGGGTAGTTGTCTGAACTGTTTTCAATGTTCTCAAAAAGGTACAAGCAGCTAAGGAAAAGACAGTGATGTCAAAAATCTAATTTCTTCATGAGACTGGATAAATACTTTCTTTGGCTCCCACTTTGCTGTTAGGTGGTTTCCTTGCAACATTTTTGCTCATATAGATTAAATTATGTACTTCCGTTTGGTCCTAAAAGCATGCTAGTGTCAAGTTAGTGCAGTCTGGCACTAATGCATTAAAAAAAATATATTGTAACAGGGCCATATTACAAGATAAGTATCTCAAGCTACATCTGTCTTAGCACTAGAAACCAAAGAGCTGTAGAGCTGCATAACGTACTGAATCGCGATAGATATATTAATATCTGACTGTGCAATATTGCAAGGAGAGTTTGGACACCATATTCTTTTCTTTGCTTCTGTGGGGCAATCTGTTTAGCTGGTAACGAAAGGATGGTGGCTTAATCCCATCCAAGGATGTGCATTTTCCATGGGTGATGTTGTGGCCTAAAGGTTAGAGCAGAGTGCTTGTGTTCTCAAGGTGGTTGCAAGTACCCCCACAATCCCCACAGACTGCAAGTCTGGGTCCCTAAACTAAACCTTTAGCCTCTGACTGCTACCTAGGTGTTGTAAGAGATACTAACTCTAGGAAAGATGGGGACAATGGTTAATTTTAACAAACAAAAGACTTAGGAAAAAGATTATTAAGAGTGATTATTGTGGTTTATTTCTAGTAACAGTATAGCTATTTTCATATTGATATTTTCCAGAATTATGCAGCCCTACTCATAAGTATTTTTGCTGTATTTTTCTGTTTAACAACTGTAGGAATTATAACTTTTAACTTTCAAAATGCATATTTGGTTTTCAGATGCAATTTCTGTTTTATTTGATTTAGATGTCTTTAAACCAGGAAGCACAAACATTTGGCTTATATAGGAGATATTTACCGTATAAACTGAAGAGATTATATGAATTAAACCAAGCTAGAGTTTAAAGAGATGGTAATAATTAAGGAGTTGTTTAATAATCTCCATACATAACTTTTACTTCTCTTGAATGATTAAGTTGCTTCCCCAGTGAATTACTTTTGATTTTAACATGGGGGGCAGCACACTCTACATGGATAACCTATCTTTCATTTTTGCTCCATATAAGGACAATCAACTCATTAATGAGGCAGGAACCACAGGCAGTTCTTATTGTACATTTTGCACTAACATATTAACTTATTTAGGTTCCATTTGAAAAGTCGTCATCAAGCTGCTTGTGAATATAGAAACAACTAACAAATAGTAGTCTATATTAGAAATCACATTTATCATTATATTTACATTCTAGAGGATACTTTAATTGCAACTTTCCCCCCTTAATCTAACCACAGAAAATAATTTAATAAAAATAATTCCATAATCGTAAGACATCGAGTTTATTCTATATAATTACGAGACCTTAATTTTTCTTCCCCAGAAGGTCTCTGGCAAAAGTGGACAAAACTCTTAGCCATGATTTGTTTAAAGGTGTGTCAAATTCACCACCACGCAAATATATGTAAATGTGTTGCATGGTACTGAGGGATGGGGTTAAAGTAAGTAAAGCTACGTCTGAGTACAAAATGTTTTAAGGACAACTCCTCTGAATCGGCTGAATAACTGTGTAAATCAGAGAATGATAATATAAATTATGGCATGGGGTGTCAACACTTTTTGGTCCTGGAATCCAAGATGAAGGGTCAAGCACCTTTCACTGCTTTCCCCAGTGATGAAAAGGACGATGTTTGAAGCAACCAATTTAAAAAAGAATGAGGTTCTGACAAAGGAACTAATATAAGACATCAGCTTCATCTCCTCTCAGCTCCCTCTGCTTTCATCAGCCTTAGCTGTTCCTTTTCTTGACCTTACTGTTCATACATGTTTTTTCCCCCTCTCCATATAACCTTTTTATAACTAGTTTCTATGCTATGCCCTTTTGTTTACTCATCTTTTTTCTCGTGCTGTTCTGTAGGGATTTGTCTTTCGTTAGAATTAGATTTATTTTTTCACAATACACCTCATAGCAAATGCTTTTTTATCTTCTTTTCTAGGAATTAGATTCTTAAGTTTATGCTAGCAGCAGAAGGAGCACCAGGAGGCTCTGCAACAGAACGCTGAGAGGTTGCAAAAATGTCAAGCCATATTTTACTACGCTAAACCAATATTAGTTAGCAGACAGTTTAGAGATGACACATCAACTGTTAAAAGTGGTTCAACAAATTATCATTTGGCAGATGGGAGGACATTTTGATCAATTACCCATCCAAACTAGCATGGTAGATGATATTTGTTTAAATCTTTCAATATTTTTAAACCTGTTGCAAAGAAGGGGGGGATTTTCTCCCTTTACAGATTTCTACTGTTTTCCCTCTTCTTAGTCACCAATAATTGCTTAGAACATTGCAACTTGTACAGTATTCATGTGGACTGAAAACAAACAAAAAAAACCCCACTTAATCTAAGAATTGGGTTCATATGAAGGTGTTGCAGCAAAAAAAAAAAAAATTCTTAAAACAATTTTAAAGGTATTAAATAGGGGAAAAATGTCACATTTTAAAAGCTCTTTTTCTAACAAGTTACTTTAAGTCAGGGTTACTTTGAAAAAATAACAGACCATCTTCTGGACAGCTTCAAATGTTATTTACTTCTTTAAGTTTAATATTGGCATGTTACACACAGAAAAATAAAATAACTAAAAAACCCACACAGAAACTAATAAGCTTATAAATATGAGCCAGGAAAATAGTTATAGCTAGTGTTGGATTGAAAATGACAATCCTTTTCTAAGAGGAGGCACATCTGCCCCACCTCAAAGGCAGAATCCATCACTGGCTGCAACACAAATTAATTTGGAAACAAAAAAAAAAAAGCTTTTTTCTTTTATTACATGTAAAATATGTGAAAATATGTAGTGTAAGTTATAACACTAACTGGTGTTCAAATAACAGATATTTGATACATTCAAACAGGAGAAAAACTAATATCAGATGGTTGATAAAAACATATGAGTTGAAAGTGGCTCCCACCTTATCACTAGAGTCCTTCGCGTATTGTGTGTTATCAGTAATTGAACAGAGTGAAAGGAAGAGCTGTACCGGCTGTGTTGGAAGTCACTGGGCGAGAAATCCCATCACATTTGGTCTCGCAGAGGAAATCGTCAATGGAAGGGCTTAATAGCGGCCGACTCTCTTGTTGCTCGCTCACCAGCTGTAAGGACAAATACATGAGACAGTTCAGGCTTTCACTCGGCCTGTTTCTGTGCAAGTCCTGTTCAATCCCTTGCAGCTTTGCTAACATGAAGTGAAGTTCGGCTGTTTGTACAGCAGTCACATGATAGCAATTCCCCTTATTACAGAAATACCTGCATCAAAAAATAATTTTTTTTTAAGTGGCTGTGATGGACCAGGGAGGGGCTAAAGGGACAAATACAGTTGGTTTTTCATTTATTTTGCTTTACTTTTTCTGCAGAGTGATGTCACTTGAAAATATAGTTTTCGGTATTAATAATTAGATCTTAATTGTACATTATATATACAGGTAAAAAAAATGTTCACCCCAAATTCTTTTAGTCTATAAATCACCGATCAGTACCTAAAAACAGGGTGATTTGTTGTTAGTGTATCAACCTCCTAAACCACTCAGGTTGTCTAGTTTAAGTCTACTCTGTACATAGGGTGGCCATTTCTATAGCACCAAAAAGGAGGACATTGTGCGGCATATCAATAAATTACTAAGGTGTACAAGAATCGGGTAAAGTCACATTTATAGCACAATTCTTAGTAGTTTAAAGAGGATGCTTGTGTAGCTGAATAGAACAAAATATTAAAGAAATGTAAAAAAGAATTGGTTCCCAGCATTTGTATTTATTTAATACATTGTGGTGTTTAAAAAGTGACATTTTTTTGACAAAAACTGCAGAACTGCTGCAATTGATCATAAAGCAGTTGTTTG